TCACGGCATGGGAACTTCAACATCCGTCAGATGCCTTCTGGGGGGCCAGATCAGGAGCGACATCCACGGGCGCTGCTTTCCAGCGCAACTTGACTGCGCATGTTTCCAAATCACGCGGGCATGAAGCTGCCAGCACCCTTATTGGCAGGTACAACTGTTTCGAAACGGTACGGATCCAGGTCCTTTGGGATCACGCGCGCCAGTTACATTTTCCCTCGTGGCTGACATGGATGATATTATCGACGCACCAAGCCCCGCGACAGGTTATGGCGCGTGGATCGCTCTCTTCCGATCTATCCAGGGGGTCTTGGCGGGTTGCAGCCCTGCAGGTGCGATGGTGCAGCTGCTGCAATCCATTTTTCCGGCAAAGGTGAGGAAGCGTTGTAGTTCCCCACATGTTTAGTGGGGTCCTGGTTTTCTTCCATGCCTTGTCGCACCCGCGCTCACTCACCTCACCTCCCTCTTCCCATTCTCACACAGCGCAGCACAGCACAGCACAGCACAGCACTGCACTGCACTGCTCAGCATAGCTCAGCACAGCTCAGTTCAGCTCAGCATAGCACAGCACAGCACAGCTCAGCTCAGCACAGCAGGGCATAGCAGGCTTGGCATTTTCTCGACACCATAGGGGGTGCGCAGGGGGTGGTCCCTCAGCGCGGCCGCTATGTACGACGGTCGTCCAGGGCATAGCAGGCGTGGCAATTTCTCGACACCATAGGGGGTGCGCAGGGGGTGGTCCCTCAGCGCGGCCGCTATACACGACGGTCGTCCAGAGCATAGCAGGCGTGGCATTTCCTGGACACCATAGGGGGTGCGCAGGGGTTGGTCCTTCAGCGCGGCCGCTATGCACGACTGTCGTCCAGGGCATAACCATAGGGGGTGCGCAGGGGGTGGTCCCTCAGCGCGGCCGCTATACACGACGGTCGTCCAGGGCATAGCAGGCGTGGCATTTTCTCGACACCATAGGGGGTGTGCAGGGGGTGGTCCCTCAGCGCGGCCGCTATGCACGACGGTCGTCCAGGGCATAGCAGGCGTGGCAATTTCTCGACACCATAGGGGGTGCGCAGGGGTGGTCCCTCAGCGCGGCCGCTATACACGGCGGTCGTCCAGGGCATAGCAGGCGTGGCATTTTCTCGACACCATAGGGGGTGCGCAGGGGGTGGTCCCTCAGCGCGGCCGCTATACACGACGGTCGTCCAGGGCATAGCAGGCGTGGCATTTTCTCGACACCATAGGGGGTGCGCAGGGGGTGGTCCCTCAGCGCGGCCGCTATACACGACGGTCGTCCAGGGCATAGCAGGCGTGGCGACAGCAGGGGGTGGTCCCTCAGCGCGGCCGACATCCAGGGCATAGCAGGCGTGGCATTTTCTCGACACCATAGGGGGTGCAGGGGGTGGTCCCTCAGCGCGGCCGCTATGCACGACGGTCGTCCAGGGCATAGCAGGCGTGGCATTTCTCGACACCATAGGGGGTGCGCAGGTGGTGGTCCCTCAGCGCGGCCGCTATACACGGCGGTCGTCCAGGGCATAGCAGGCGTGGCATTTTCTCGACGCCATAGGGGGTGCGCAGGGGGTGGTCCCTCACCGCGGCCGCTATGCACGACGGGCGTCCAGGGCAAAGCAGGCGTGGCATTTTCTTGACACCATAGGGGGTGCGCAGGGGGTGATCTCTCAGCCAGCGCGGCTGCTATACACGACGGTCGTCCAGGGCATAGCAGGCGTGGGATTTTCTCGACACCATGGGGTTTGCGCAGGGGGTGGTCCCTCACCGCGGCCACTATGCACGACGGTCGTCCAGGGCATAGCAGGCGTGGCATTTTCTCGACGCCAGACGGGGTGCGCAGGGGGTGGTCCCTCACCGCGGCCGCTGGCTGGCTCGAATCTGCCCTCGATGGAGGACAGAAGGCTAGGAAGATGGAGGAGGTTCAAGCAATATGGCGTTGGATGACACATAGGGGAACATTCGCGACGAGAGCTCAGAACGCAGAATTGCGCATATTTTATAAACTTAAGCAAACACATCATATTTAAATTAAGTGTGTGTAAGTGTGTGGGGTTCCTCGGTAGCGTAATGATGTTCTTCGACGTCAGCCTTCAATGGGCCGGCGATGCCATGAGTCAGGCGGCCTCCCGATTTCGAGCAGCCAAGTGAATCGCGAACGGGACTGTCCCTTTTGGCCTCATCATTCAGGTGTGCGCGTCTGGATGCGTTGCCAGGTCGCAGCGAGAGAGTCGGTCCATTCGTGGTTTTGCCCAAGCGTTAAAGCTCAAGGTCTTCGGGCACATGCGCAACCTGGGGCGCGAGCTGGCTGGTAGCAGGCTGCGTGAGATTCAGGAAAGGAAGCGTTTGGCCGCAGCGTTAGCGCGCAGGTCTCGCTTGAAGGCGCTTGGGCGGGCATATGATGAAAAGGTGCGTGCTCTTTGGCGCGCAGGCCTGCCACCAGCGGCCGCGCGCGGCGCAGGTGCCGGCGGGGTAGTCCCCGCCACGCTCGCCAAGCTCCGCAGCCTAGCAGGGCTGCTGGTCGGGGCGAGGCAGAATGCAAGTGTCACAGCATGGTCAGCCATTCGCGCGGACGAGTTCGACCACCAGATCTTTGACAGCGCCAGTGGGTTGGTCTGGCGATGCGCAGCTTTGGTTCGGGACAATGCTATATTCTTGGCAGCCGTGCAGCGTGCACTCATGAGTATCATCCCGAACCTTCAGAAGGATTTAATCATTTGAGCTGGTCCAAGTGCCATGGACCTTTGTCAGCTGTCGCACTGTCTCTACATTGAATCGACTGGGCCATGAAGGCTGCGCGCGTGCTGCGCGCAGTTATCGGAACAGACGCGGGACTGCTCGTCACCCCATCCATGGAGCTCAAGATGCTACTGCGAGAAGACATAGGGCGATGGCAGACGACGCGCATCTTGATGCGCATCCCTGGCAACCACAACGTTCTGAAGGTTGTCTGGCGTCGAGCCCTCTGTGCTGCAGTCTCGGCCATCAGAGACCCCGTGCGCAGAGGCTGTGCCGGATGTCTCCCAGGGCCCGCGCTGCGCCCCCTTGCCAGGAAGAAGATGGCTGGGCATTGCGATTCCGAGACCTGCGAGCTGTGTTTCTATGGGGCCCTTAGGGCCCTTGGGCAACAATGTTTCGATTGCGACGTCCTCCTGAGGCCCTCGGAAGACGCTGGCATCGAGCAGCTCGAGCCTGGGGTTTTGGAGCACAGGGAGTATATGAGGGGCCTCGGGGACAATAATTTTGGCGACCCCGATTGGGAACACAGTAGAGCTTGCCTACGGCATCCCGCATCACCCTATCACGCTCTCGCTGCCGCCTCTGGTTTGTTCCGTTCCCCACTAGAGGGCAATTCGCTTGCCGCGGGGCAATCGACTCTACGCCGACGGATCAGGGCTCGCGAATGTGAGCCCTGAGCTCCGAAGGTGTAGCTGGGCTGTCGTTGAACTCTTGGATTCGGGTCTTCCCGTTAGGGCCGCGTGCGGGCCCTTGCCCGGGCGCCAGTCGGTGCCTCGTGCCGAGAGGTACGCTGGCGCTTGCGCGTGTCAAGTCGCTCCTCAGCTCGGGGCGATTTACAGTGATCATTTACGTTTTGTTAAGGAGGGGAGGTCTTGGCACCCAGGCCTGGCCAACGCTCAGAGCCCTCATGCTGACCTCTGGCGCCAGATCTCTCGGTCCCGTGATCCAGCAGCGTGCCCCCGTCCTTCGAGCGGGCGAAGGCTTCCCGTTCGCTTGAAGATGCGCTGGGCCAGCCCCCCGACGTCATTCTTAAAACCCGAGGCATCTCGTGGGCTGACTTCTTTTGGCTAGGGGCCCAGAAGCACCAGCATGCCCAGGTTGTTGTCGATGCTGGGCGTCAGCGCGCTACACAATGCAAAAGCACTTGGAAGTTTTCGCCGGGTGCGGTCCAGATCGTCTGTACCCAGGCTTCCTGCGTGGAGGCCGCCCCGAGTCAGGGCGTCGACGCGGCTTTGAGCAAGACTTCTCTCCAAGTCGTCAATCATGAATTGTATTTTCTTCACGATCGTCGGGAGTGGACGTGCCGAGCGCGCAATATCTCCGCAGCCGCTGACATGGCCCTCGAGGGGCTCCTCAGCGGGGCCAGCAGGCGGTGCCAGCCGACGCGCGTGAAGTGGCCTGCTGACCACTTCTGTCAGCTGCGCCCCGAGGCTACTCCTTTCTCCCCCCAGCCTGCACCCGTCAACGGCGGTTGCGTTTCGAGCGTCTTCGGGCCGAGCGGGTCCAGCGGGTCCGAGGGGTCCTGGGTCCAGGACGGGCGCAGGCAAATTGGGTTGGATGTTGTTGAGGCTTCCGGACACGTGCCCGTTCGGCATGACCGTGTCGTTCTATGTCAGGCCTGTGTTTCTTATTTTGTCCTGCCTGGTGGGCACTGCGAAACAATTAAACAGCAGTGTGTTGCGCTGAATGAGAACGCGCAAGCCACACGCGTTCGTCTTTTGCATGATGCTGCCTCGGGCTTGCACCCCAAGACTGGTGTGCGATTTGTGCCCACCCGTGCCGACTCTCAGTAGGTGCCCCGCCATCCGTGCCTGGCTCCCCTGAGGACCCTGTCGAGGCCGCCTGCGGTTCGGCGGGGCGCATGCTCGATGATGTGCCTGCCCTCGCCGTGGCCACGGGCTCCCGACGTGCCGCGCAACCGTCCAGGATCCAATCCCGCGGCGATGAGGACAGCTCTGACTAGAGCTTCGCACTTGGCACGGACACGGTCGACATTTTGTTGACTGCCTGCCTGTGTATCGGAGCGCTGAGGCCGTCACTTCGACGGTCGCAGCCGAGGCTCCCTCTGCACTGCCCATGCGGTGTTATTTTCGCAGGAGGTCTGGCCACTCAGTCCACCCTCCCGCCGTCCTCATTTTGTGTGCGGTGCTATCGATTCGACTGCACCGTGGCACGCTCGCTCCCTCCATTTCTCCCTCCGAGAACCCCTCGAGGCCCCCCCCTGCCCCCGGTGGAGCGGATGGGGGGCGCCCCGCTGAAAGGAGCTGAGCAGCGCGGAGCAGCGGAAGCGCGCGGCCGCCGCGGAGGCTGGCCGCATGGTTTACTGAGCCGGAGGGAGGGGGGGGGGGGGGCGCTGCTTCTCGGGCTCGGCTGGTGGGGCGGGGGGCAGTAAGACGGAGGGTCGAATGCACGAAAGAGTAACCCTTCGTCGGAGTGACCTTTGGTGCGGGCTCACTGGGCCCCCCCCCAATCGCTCAGCGCGATGCGATAGTGGCTGCTTGCGCGCTTGGATTTGGCCACCTTGCCCCTCCATCATTCGCACGCTACAGATCACTCTGGCCTATGGTCACTCGTGCGTTTAGCCGAGAGTGGGGGGGGAGGAGGAGGAAGAGGAGGGGGAAGAGGAGGGGGAGGAGGGAGAGGAGGAGGAGGAGGAGGAAGAGGAGGAGGATGAGGGATGAGAAGTGGGGGGGAGGAGGAGGAGGAGGAGGAGGAGGAGAGGAGGAGGAGGAGGAGGAGGAGGAGGAGGAGGAGGAGGGAGGAAGAGGATGAGGAGGAGGAGGAGGAGGCGTAATTCAGACGGCGGGGGGAGCGAGGAGGGGGAGGAGGGAGGAGGACCAGCGCTCGGCTTTCGGAACGAGTTCATCCGCGACGATTGCCCATCTCGGCCACGAGAGGGTGCTACAATTGCATCTCGATCGGGAGCCTGCGCCGATGACGGTGAGGCGGCATCTGAGGCGCGGGCAGCGGTAAGCTGATGACTGGCCTGCCTGTGCAATTGAGCCAAGGGGATCGGTCGTCTGAAAGTCAGTGGTATCTGCAATTTGATGAACTGGAATGACCGTCGCAACGACGCTGGCGCTGCTGCCGATTTCCCCCTTTTCACCACTGTCCCGAGAGCCGCTCCTCGGAACGGTCAGCCACGCAAACGCGCCATGAGCGCTGCCTGGGCACGCTGCGTGCTCTCGAAATTACTGAGCCGAACACAGCGGGACACATGCACGCGCCAACGTGCGATCTTGGACTGGAATGAGCAGTTCCTATCGAGACGCTTTTTCGACGCCACTGTGGCTCAAGGCCGCTCTGAGAAACATCAGACACGAATCCTTGTCTCACCCAACCCCCAGGAAATATTATGAGTGGTAGTAGTAGTAGTAGTTACTAGTAGTAGTAGTAGTAGTAGTAGTAGTGTAGTAGTAGTAGTAGGTTAGTAGTAGGCAGTAGTAGTAGGTAGTAGTAAGTAGTATATAGTTAGTAGTAGAGTATTGTAGTTGTAGAGTAGTAGTAGTAGTAGTAGTATTAGTAGTAGTATAGTATATGTAAGTAGTAGTATAGTAAGTAAGTAGTAGTAGTTTGTAGAGTAGTAGTAGTAGTAGTAGTAAGTAGTAGAGTAGTAGTAGTAGTGTAGTATAGAAGTCGTCGTAGAAGTAGTAGTAGTATAGTAGAGTAAGGAGTAGTAGTATAGTAGCAGTAGTAACAGTAGTAGTGGTGGTGTAATCGTAGGCCTTCGTATTATAACACCAGTAGCTAACTAGTAGTATAGCAGTAGTAATGAGGAGGAGGTAGTAGTAGGTACGTAGTAGTAGTGGTAGTAGAAGTCGTAAGAAAGTAGTATAGTAGAGTAGTAGTAGAAGTAGTAGTAGTAGTATAAGTAGTAGTAGTAGTAGTAAAGTAAGTAGTAGTAGTAGTAGTATTAGTAGTAGTAGTAGTAGTAGAGTAGTAGTAGTATAGTAGTCGCAGTAGTAGTAGTAGCAGTAGTAGTGTAGTAGTCCCTATATCTCCGTAGTAGTCAGTAGTAGTAGTATAGTAGTAGTAGTAGTATATTAGTAGTATAGTAGTAGTAGTATTGTAGTAAGGTTAGGTCGTTGTACTAGTAGTAAATAGTAGTAGTAGTAGTTGTAAGTAGTAAGTAGTATAGTATTAAGTAGTTAGTAAGTAGTAGTAGTAGAGTAGTAGTAGTAGTAGTAGTAGAGTCGTAGATTTTTGTAGTAGGATTAAGTAGTAGTCGTCCGTCGTATTCGTATTCGCATTCGTATTCGTAGTCGTAAGTTGTTAGTTGATACTAAGATATGCTATAGACTGAAGTATAGTAGTAGTAGTAGTATAAGTCGCGTAGGTCGTAGTAGTAGTATAGTAAATAATATTAGTAGTAAGTAGTAGTAGTAGTAATAGTATAGAAGTAGTAGTAAGCATTAGTAGTAGTAGTGGTAGTAGTAGTAGTAGTAGTTGTAGTAGCAGTAGTAGTGGTAGTAATCGTAGTAGTACTAGTAGCAGTCGTAGTTGATGTTGTACTTGTAGTAGTGATAGTAGTAGTAATAGTACTAGTCGTAGTTGTAGTTGTAGCAGGCGAAGTAGCAGTAGTAGTGGTAGTAGTAGTAGTCGTAGTAGTATTAGTAGTAGTAGTAGTAGTGGTAGTAGTACAGGTAGTTGTAATAGTAGTAGTAGTAGCAGTAGTAGTAGTAGCAGTAGTAGTAGTGGTAGTAGTTTTATTATTAGTAGTACTAGTCGTCGTAGTCTCAGTAGTACTAGTAGTAGTATGAGTAGTAGTAGTAGTAGTAGTAGTAGTAGTCGTCGTAGTAGTAGTAGTAGTGTTAGGTAGCAGGAACGGCAGTACTAGTAGAAGTACTAGTAGGGGCATTTGTAATAGTTGTGATAGTAGTAGACGATGAAGTAGCCGTAGTGGTGTTGTTGGTACTAGTAGCAGCAGCAGCAGTAGTAGTAGTAGTAGTAGTAGTAGTAGTAGTAGTAGTAGTCGTAGTAGTAGTAGTGGTAGTAGTAGTAGTAGTAGTAGTAGTAGTAGCAGTAGTAGTAGTAGTAGTAGAAGTCGTAGTAGTAG